GCCACATGGAGGTTGATTGGCAGCGCTAAGACCCGTCTCTTGGCTCTGATTGGCTGTTTCTGGTTAGCACTAGAAGGCAGAAGAGCTCCATTTTTTTCACAGGTTATCATATTTACTGTCACGACATAGTGACAGTTTCAACAAATATGTTACAAAAATATCTTTTATAAAAGTTACCTACTGCAGCTGTAAGGAAAATAAGCTTATCTACTTTATTTAAGGAAAATGTATAACTTTAAGATGATTTTTAATCTTTTTTATTAGAAATGTAATGTTGTTTAACCCCAGTAAGAAAAGCTGCAGGCCTACAGCTGCTAAGTGAAATCTTAATAAACAAATATATATCAGAACCACTCTAACTTCAAACGTTCCTGCAGGATAAGAGTTAAAGTACGCTTTTCGTTTTGAAATCATCCAAAATGTTGCTTTTGTAGTCCACAGACTGTCTGAAGTGAAAAAAAAAGCTCAGGTAGGAGAGCTGAATAGTGAAGTGAGCTGAAGCCTCCCAGGAGGAAGAGTCAGGCCTGTGATGACCTGGGATGATGAGATGCGCTCTCAGCTCCCAGCGGTCGTCTGGAAAAGGAACAAAGTGGCCTGAACTTTACCAGAGCTGCTCTGACTTTCACAAAGACAGAGTAACGCAACGTGTTCCTCTCATATTTGATGTCAGCTCTGCTGCAGCAGCCGGTAATGAGGTGAATACTAATTGATTTACTTTTAATTATCCCTCCCTCTTTTTTTCTTTCAATTACAACCCTCAGCGGCCCGTCGCTGCGCCGCGACTAGCGCCTCGTCCTGCCAGAGTTACAGCAGAGCTGCAGTTATTTTACAGGACAAAGCTTGCATGTGTGGGATTCGGACCCCACAATGCTGAACCAATCAGAACATGTTCATACTCCACATCCTGACAAACTCTGACGCTCAAGTAAAGCATGGATATGATTTATATTTTGTGCTTTAATATTCAAATTTTGACCCTTTCTTTATCAATTCTCCAGTCTGATTGGCTCTCAGTCTGTTTCCCAGCTGTATGATATAAATAATATAATATCCTCCATTATTGCTATTTATACCTACACTCACCTAAAAATCTAACATTTAAATTTCTTTCAGTACATCTAATTCAGCTTCAAATGGAAAGAACAACTCATGTGTCATTTATTTTACGGTGATACTTTTTGTTTTCTCCCTCATTAAGCAATATAAAATCATGATACTTTAGTGTGAAATGATTTCCCCCCAAGCATAAGCAACATTTAAAGAGATAACACAGATCCGCGCCCAGATGGAGGCTAGATTTAGAAGAGACCTCCATCTAGCGGCCATTAAGAGGAATTACAAATAGATATTTACCTAAATTCACCAAAGCCTTGCCAACATTTGAGATTATAAACTGAAAAATATTTAAATAACAGTTACATTTTAGCAAGATAGTTACAGAATCAGTGCTGATTAATGGTGAAAGTAAAAGCTTTTCCACATAATATGAAGGGAAGTCAACAGATTGGGTTGGAACAGCTGTAAGAATTTTCAAGATAAAAGCTCTGTGCTTTTTTTTTTGTTTATCAATCAAATCAAAGTAGTTTTTTTCCCTCTATGCTGCCAAAATTACATCATTGTGAAAACACTATTTAATTTCAAGAAGTTCTCTTCAAATATAGATAGTTATTATTTTAAGTCTATTAATCAGAATGGTAAATGGACTGAACTTATGTAGCACTTTTTCCGATTATTTTGACACTCAAAGCGCTTTACACTAGAGTCACATTCACCCATTCACACACAAACGCTCACACACCGATACGCAGATCAGTAGGCAAGTTGGGGTTAAGTGCCTTGCCCACTGGCACATCGACATGAGGCAGGAGGAAGCTGGAATCAAACCTTCAACCTTCCAATCACAGGACAGCTACTCTTCCCACAGAGCCACAGTCACCTGAAGTTGGTAGCACTGTTGCCACAGCAACAAGATCCTGTTGTCTGTTTCCCCCATGAATGTGTAGATTTTCTCCGGGTACTCCGGATTCCTTCCACAGTCCAAAACAAAATGTTTAGCTTAGATCATGATAAACATGTGATCAATATCAACGTATCAATTATGCATCAGAATATTCAGTCATTTCACTGAACTACGACCCAGAACTGCACAGCATTCTGGGGGATGTAGACAGAGGAAAGACTTTAGCCGCTCAACCTCTCATGGCTGCTTGCTAAGCAAGGTTAGTAGCATCAACTGGCTCTTTGGTTACCTAGCAACTCACTCACTCTTTGGTTACCTAGCAACAACATGTTGAGTAACTTGCGCAGCAGCAGATTCCTGTTTCTCCACTGTGTCTCATAACTGCTTAAAAATTAAAACGGCGTGGAGAGAAAACTGGATAAAAAGGGAAAAGTCACATCATCATTTTGGTTGTATTTCAGATATTTAAAACAAAAAAAAAACTAATCAATAAGTATTTATAATGACTGATATGAAACCCTTATATCATGACAGATTTTTCATGATAGTGTGTCATTATCATAAAATGAACGAGCTGCTCTGGTGGTCGTTGTTGTGTCTCTGTGATGGACTGCTGACCCGTCCACAGTGTCCCCCGCCTCTCTCCCTGCTGCAGGACAGACATACTTGTTGGTTTATCACTGTATATTTTTCCTGAGTAGTTACTTTAAGTTTCCTATACTTGTATATGGAACCGTTGGAAATGGTGTCTAAGTTGCACTCCTCGGTGAGCAGCTGTGAAACATTTTCTTTGTTTTTATGCTAAACTCGGTGACAGAACCTTTGTCATCGTCAGAAACGTGTTTCTCTGCAAACGGCTGCATCGTCTCCGACTCGCTCTGCAGAGCGTGACTGAAGACCTTTTCAGAAACGTCTCGAGCGAATGCAGCTTCCTGGATTAAAAACATCCTCTTTCAAATGCAGCAGTGTCTGAGCGAGCAGCAAGAAGGTTGAAGAAAGCAAAAAAGAATAAAATATTAGCATACAACTTTCTGTTTTTTGTTCCTGTCCTGCAGCGGTGGCAGAAATCAGGGACTCACTTGGAGCACATCGTGTCTCGGTTCTGCCTGGACTCGGAGATGGCTCTGGACGGCATGGACTCGTCCCGCATGCTGGTCATCAGCCCCTGTGAACTGAGCGCCTACACACAGAGATGGGAAGTTCCCTTCTCCTGACCTCGTGACCCTGGGCCTCCAGAAACCTGCTTTATCACTCCGACTCTCCACCGGCGAGAGCTTTGGCCCAGCGCTCCACTTCCACTGACCGGAGCAGCAGGAGCGACGTCAGCACTGAGCTGAAGATTACCGCACAGAAACATGATGAAGACGAGTCGAAGGGCTGGAACATGGTGGAAAGCACAGAGGATCAGAAGGATGCATGGAAAACATGGGACAAATTAGAGTTTGAAACTAAGTGCACCTTAAAATTGCCAAAGCTGGGCAGAAACTTTTCACAATGAGGGAAAAAATAACGTCTGGTTATTATTTACAACTAACATGTTTCTTCTTCAAGCTGTTTAATCATCAGAAAAATTAAAAGGAAGCACAAATCATGTTTACCACATAAACTCATCATCAACAGTGCAGATGGGTTTCCTGTTGGATTCAGCAGGAACGACTAAGACCTCGTCAGAATAAAAGCCATTCAGGCCGGGGATAAGTATTCCACCATTTAATCTAAGTTTGAGATTATTTTACATAATGTATTTTCAAATGCATTTTTCTGCAAAACACTTAAACCCAAAAATATGTGAAAGTTGGAACAAATTAGCATTTTATTATTGCTTCATCACTTCCTGTTTTGCCAGCACTTTAAGTAGTTTTTGCCATGTTTTCTAGATTTTTTATTTTTTATTTTTTACCAATTTTCTGGTACAGATCAAACATTTCAGGTCAGCTGGATATTATCTCGAAAGGAACATAATGTTCTGAAGTATTTCTGCATCATTGTGTATTAGTGTCAGTTTGCAAGGTGCTGGCTTTTAAAGACGTTGGGTCGTTCTCATTAAAACATCAGTCAAAAATAGATATTTTGACTTTTCAAACCAAATAATGTTTTTTTTATTGCCTGAAAGCTTACATGACCTAATCTTCATGTTGATTCTTCATTGTGTGCAAATTGTTTCATTCTTTACATTATCTAGATGTTTCCTCTCATGTAGCCACAGAATCCCAGATGTAAAACATCTTGCAGGCCAAACAAAAGCTACATTTATTTCTAACTAAACTAACAGGAAACAGGTTATACTGCTGATGAAATTCAAACTTTCAACCCTCGGTTCATATGATGATGTTCCCTGTTTTCTTGTTTCTGTCATCTTGAAAATCTAAACAGATAAAGTTACTGCTGACCTACAAAATGTTCCTCCACCTCCCTCACTTTTTTCTCACTTCATCATGTGTTTGACATCTGCAGCTGCATCATCTTGATATCATCTCTGATTCCTGAATAAAGTTTTATAATTCCTCTTTCTATTTTTGTTAAATGACTGTGGTGTATGTGTGAACTGTGAGCTTCGATGTGTTTTTCAGGCTTTTCACCTGGAACCTGAATTCAGTCCATCACAATGTCTGTAACTTTTAACTCAAGGTTTATTACTTCTTTTTTCCCTGGGATATAAATTTGACATAACATTTGTCTTAGTCACGCTTCAAAATGGCCAGATGAGGCTGATCTTCAAATTTAAAAAAAAAATGTTTACAAGAAAATAATGACTCAGCTACACCAGGTATGTTTGAATAAAGATCCAAACCAACCTTCTTCCATTCTAATCACCAACAGTGTTGATTATCTAAAGAGACTGTCAATAGTTAAGTGCTGCATATCTATTGGTAAAAAGGGGAGTGTAAACTTCATTTAATTAAAGCAAATTCTTTCCCTCTCATCAAATATGCACAAATTATCCATATTAATTCAAATTTCTATTTAAAAAAAAAACAACAATAATTTATACAGTTTTTACGCGTTTTTACCAGTGGTGGCAGTATGTATGGTGGGGGCTGCCTTTTTCCCAGCCAACTGCTTGTGTCTTCATTCCTAGCAGGATCTCTTTAACGGGAGAATCCGTGTAAACGGAGAAAATGCTTTCCTGCGAACTGAAGCACAATAATTAGAGCTGAGACGGAGTGTTTGTATACACAGGGACAGAGTACAGTATGTTCAGGTCCCCATCTGATCCCAGTCCACCGTCCGTTTCATCCGCTCAGGGAATCATTAACCCGAACCTGGCTGCCCCATTTTGGATTTTAAAGACATTAAACAGCAGAAGATGTCACAGAGTAAAAGTTGACATTTAATCTTTTCGAACCGCTTTCAACTGCATCCCTGCTTTCCAGAGGAGAGGGTCGCTTTTACGTAAGTACAGCGAACTTTCCATCTGTCTACCTTCTTTCTTTGCGCAGCTGTGTTGAAATAACCTTAATGTTATTATTTTGTGTTTCTTCACAAAAACCGCAGTAATACTGAATTTATCAACGCGTTTTGCGATTTATAGAGACTTGACATTTCAAGCCGGTAAAATGGACTGTAATTAACTTAATTGTTTCCAGTCGGTACTGTTTTCTCGCCGTACCGCCTGAGTGTGTAGTTCGCTATAAACCCTGGCGGGGTTCAAACGGCAGAAATGGACTACAACTCCCAGCGTTCAGAGGATGACGTAACAGCTGAAGATACGTTCGCGTAATTTTAAAAATGATGTTTCTCGCTGTAGCGCAGTCTAAGGTGTAATTTAAAATAGATTTGAAGTATAAGAAGCATATTTTTCATTTTGGTTACATCGCTGGCTGATACGTTATAGTGTTTCTTTTCACTTGTATGTTTTGTTTTTTACGTTTTTGACACTATGTACACTCAACGAGAACAAGGGGAATTCAGGTAACTTTTTAAAGGTTTAAGCTAATTGTTTTATATTTGCGCAACATCTCGAAACTTTTTGGAATAATTTGCGCTTTTTAGCACACTTAAAGCTGCATTTTATTGGTAAAATAGGAATAATATCATACATCTCCTATGTATTTGAATGCATCACGTGCGTCATATTTTAAGGACATGAACTGAGGTTTGTTTTTGGTGCTGGTTTAACTAAGGAAATAAACGCCGACATTGTTCGTTTTTAATATTTTATTCGAATGCACTTGAGGCCCAAGGTAACAAATGGCACTTCCACTCCCGAAAACAGGTATGCTATGCTAATTTTAGCTAGCTGTTTGTAGAAACGGAGTTTGTATTGAAGAGGTGCAAGCTAGCCAAACATGTGTTAGCCCAGCTTTCGGTTGGTTCTGCTTTACCGGTGTATTGATCCAACCTTTTACAACTGGGATGGTTTAGAGTGAAGTGAAAATGTTATCTGCTTTCTTACGTTTACATTTTCAAATGGTTACAAATTATAGTTAAATAATTATGTAAAGATGCACCAGTTACCCCGCCAATATGCAGGGATTGCCAGTAATGCTGTAAAGTCATGTGTTTCCTATTTAATTGAGAAATGCCACCATTTTCATTCTATAAGCGCATGCATCAACCTCCTGTTCGTATTTTGTAGGAATTTGTTTTAAGTTTAATATGAATCACATGAAAAGCTTAGGACATATTCCTGTATACATTGTGGATAAACGTTTTCTGTTGGATTTAAAACCTCTTCTAAGAACTTTCTCGTTTTATGTTGTAATCCCAAGAATAAAAAAATGAATGAGTATTTTCATCAGTTCTTACATATTTACCTGTTTATAAACTTTCTGTTTGCTTTCTGAACTCCAGACCTCCCATGTTTCTTCACCGAGTGAGCTCCTTCAGTTCCTCCGTTCGTCCCAGAGGGCATCCCGCTCTCCACCGGGCCTCCTCCCACCACCAACCATTCGCCCCTCACCCTCATCCATGGTGGTCAGCCCCCAGATTCCCACCCTGGCCTCCTCACCTTCCCCCACCTTACCCACCTCCTTCTCCACTCTTCACTGGTAACAGATTCCACTTTGTCAACGCTGGCGGTCTGCAGTCATTCCACACCTCTGTTGATGTCATGATGGAGCGTCCCGGCAGAGAACCTCCAAACAAACGATTGAAAAGTGGAGAGGACAGGAAGAGTGTCGGGGAAAATGTATCATCCAGGGATGGAGGAATGAGGGAAACGAGGGCCAGAGCCAGGGAGAGAGAGTCAAAGCAGGAGCAGCATCATCGGGATTTCAGAAGAGACGGCGAACTTCCAGCGAACCACCGGTCCAGAATCGGAGAGAAACCAAAAACCGGAGCCGAGAGAGTTTACAGCAGAGAAAGGACTAAATGTGAGAGAAGCAGCAGCAGCGACAGAACTAAAAACCAGCATTCACAAGCTGCAGGATCCAGGACTGAGCAGGAGAAACCCAACGTCTGGTTCCGTGGCAGGCCTGCTGAGGAGCAGCGGAGCCTTCAGCAGAACCAAACCGGGTCGGCAGAACCTGACAAGGTTGGCGGTGTGGATGCAGGGAGATGGGCAGGGCTTCAGCACCAGCCTTCCAGTTCGATTCAAGCAGACAGACGACCTCCACGGCAACCTCCACATCCCGTTAAAGGTCAGTTTCCTCTTTAATAATGTTAAAATGAAGCTCTTTAAATGTTCATACCCAATAAAAAAATAAATGTATGAGGACTTTAAACTCAAAATTCAGCAGAGCATTGGGGCCAACCTAAGAAAATAGAATTGAGAAAATGGTGAGAATGAAGTCTTACAAGAATAAAATCATAATATTATGACTTTATTCCCATATTGTTATGGCTTTATCCTTGAAATGTTATGAGTTTATTCTTATACGACTTTATTTTCAGAACCATTTAGATTCTTATGCAATTTCTCATAAGTTTATTTTGGTAAAACTGACTTTATTGTCTTAATTTTTTTGTCAGTATGGTTAAGCAGAGCAATCCTCCCAATTTGCACATTTTGTCAGATGAAATTAAACCTTATTTTCTTCAGCTCTTCAGAGGTACTGGGAGACCTGCAGTACTGAACCCCAGCCACCAGGGGGCAGCAGAGTGTTTGACTTCTCTGTGATGTCCTACAACATCTTGTCCCAGGATCTGCTGCAGGATAACGCCTACCTGTACCGACACTGTGACCCTGCCGTTCTGTCCTGGCCGTACAGGCTGCCCAACCTGCTGGCAGAGATCCAGCAGCACAACGCCGACGTGAGTGGACGACATAAAGCTTGAAAATATTCATAAAATCTAAAAATTTACTCATTATTCCTCATATCCATCATTTCTGAAATCACTGAGAGGTGGCTCTTATCAAGAAAATGTTTCTTTTCTGTATTCCCACTCCAGACATAGTAGGAATACCTTGTGAAAACTTTAATTTCCTTCCTATGTTAAGAAGCTCTACCTTCAATTTTAAAATCATTTAAATAAAACAAAATAATAAATAATTTAGGCCCCAGCGAGATTTGAACTCGCGACCCCTGGTTTACAAGACCAGTGCTCTAACCACTGAGCTATAGGGCCTCACCTGAGCAGAGGTGTGGATGAGGTGTAATTAAAGTTTCAGCGCTGTGGACACACCTTCCACTGCGGCTGGTATGACTCCAATCAGGCCAGTTGTGTCTCTGCTCAGTGTGTCTGTAAATCTGTTCATTATTGGCTTTCAATGCATCACTGGATTGTAGCATTGTTATGATTCCCAACCTGCAGGTCAAACTGTTCCACACTTGTGTGTTTTTTTTAAAATCTAAATCAGGAATCCTGTGGCTCTTTTTCCACAATGGCTCTTTAAGAAAATGTGCAGAACCAACTGTTTTGTAAATATAGATATAACAATTTCAGATTTTAGCAGGGTTTGTTTTTAAGGTTTTTCTACAGAATAAATCCTGCATTGATTTTCCACAACACAATGACACATTATCAATAATATACTTATAGAAGTGTACAGGGTGTAGGATGACAAACTCATTTTCATTTTGATCCACATCATGAATCATAATAATGTCCTCAAAGGGTCGGTTGTGTCAGAAATTGATAAAACTACCAGCTAACAAACCGTTTGAAGTGTTTTAGCTTTCTCTGCATTCAATGAGTAACTTTAAAAAATTAGATTTAGCATCAAAGTAACAAACAATCAAAATCTATTTTATTTTGACTGATAAAGTAATATTTTTTAATGTTTTCTTGCAAACAAGAAAAATACTCGACAACTAAAATTGTTAGTAGATGACGGTGAATATGGAGATAAATTGGGGGCAAAAATATTGTTTGAAAAATAAAAATGAAAAAATTGAAACTGAACATAAGATATTATATTTAAGATTCAAGCTCTTTTTTCTTAAGTTTCAAATCAATTTTTTTTTTCAGCTTTAGCAACGAACATTATGGCCCCTAAGAAACAAAGGGACCTCCATAAAATGCCACTGCTGTAACATCTACAAATTTATGTTAAATTTATTAGAAGCGAGATATGTGGTTAGATTTTGGTAAATATTCTGCCTCAACCAGGTTGATGAATTTTTTGTTTGAAGGCCATCAGTAAATAAGAAATGTTTGACTCTGCAGGATGAGAAAATAAATTTCAGGCCCCAGCGAGATTTGAACTCGCGACCCCTGGTTTACAAGACCAGTGCTCTAACCACTGAGCTATAGGGCCTCACTTGTAACAGCTGGTAATGATGACTCATTTACACCTGTACACACAGTACAGACACACCTTTACATCACAGTTTGCTTTGTGATCTGGTTGAATTAGTTTTCAGTCAGATAAACCCAAAACGAAAGTAAAGTTTCCTCTTGATAGGACAGAGAGGGTTTATTTTAGCTTCAAAAACACAATGAGATGCATTCAAATCAATAAAAAAGCTTCAATAAATATGTTATAGAAAGGGCCTTGAAGAAATCTTCTTTTAATCTACGATGTTCATATCTTATTTGTTAAGTTCAAATGCAGTTGTGCACCGACCGCAGTTTTCTGGCCGATCGCTGATTACCAATATTTACCAATTCTGATTTTGGCCGATACCAAAATATTTTTGTCTGAAATGTTGCTAAATATAGCAAGAGAGTCACTTAGTTGACAACAGTGGAGTGACTATTAGCTGTGAATGGGCTGACCTGTCAGTCAAGCCTCTCACAGCATTTTATTTATTTATTTTTTTAAGGCATTGCAGAGGTCGATAAGAATGTCTAAGAATAAGAGTCATATGATATCCAAAACTAAGGATATCGGTGCACCCCTATTAAAATATGACCCACTGTTAAAGCTTTTAAGGTACCTTACACGACCCAAGAGGAGAAAATGCTTCTATTGCTCTATTTCATTACTGTAGGACCTACAGTTAATCAGAACAAACAACCCAAACAATCTTAAAGTTAATGCTTTCTATTCAAATACCCATAAAGCTAAAAAATAAATAAAATTAAAAAATGCAAGAGTAGAAATGTGGAAATTTGGAAAAGTATGGAGTTTTATAATTAAAATAAAAATCACCTGCTGGTCAAATTCTAAGAGGCAACAAAGTCAGTAATTTAAGTTTTACCAGCCTGAACCATTTCCAACAGTTCTGTCAGGAGGAATGGGCCAAAACCTTCTGGAAAGAAGCAAAAAACGTTTGACCCAAAACGCTCAGGAGATGTATGTAAACTTCTGACATCATTGGAACGGCTAACAGAAATAAGTCTTAGAATAAACAGAGATGTTTAGGCTGATTTATTTTCAGTTAGAAACATCTGTCATGTCATTTTTCTCTTCTATGTAATGCAATATGTCTAACTTGTCCAAAATCAAGAGACAGTTGGAATATTATTCATCAGGTGGGATTTTTTTTCCTCAGATTTTATCTGGTTTATTTGTGTTTAAATCATGTTTAACATCAGAAACTACTTCCAGTTGCTGTAGTACGTTAGATCATAATTGTGTGAATTATTTGTTGATTTGAAAAATGTGTAAAAAGTCGTAAATTGAAAAATAATTTAGGCCCCAGCGAGATTTGAACTCGCGACCCCTGGTTTACAAGACCAGTGCTCTAACCACTGAGCTATAGGGCCTCACCTGAGCAGAGGTGTGGACCTGGTCTAGTTAAAGTTTCAGCACTCCGGACACACCTCACTCTGTCAATGTGATTCCATAAATATCACCGGATGTGTGATTTTAAATGTCATACCTGAGCAGCGCCTCACCTGGTTTGGTACCAGACAGACCTGTTGGTTCTGTTAGCAGCTTCTTTCTTTTCTCTGTTGGACGTCAAACGTTTAAATAAAACTTATAAACAGGAAGTTATGAATACTTGGTGCAGCTGAAAGCGTGAAAAGTTTGAAATAAATGTTTTCTTTCTGTCCCAGATTCTGTGTCTTCAGGAGGTCCAGGAGGATCACTATGAGAACGAGATCAAACCAGCTCTACAGGCTTTAGGTACCAACTCCAACTAGTTCTGAAAAATACAGAATTTATTACAGCTTTATAGAATATATAAAGTATAATATGGTGGAAAAAATGTCTAAGCTTCCAGATTTTATTCTTTATCTTCTAAAGATGAATGTATTATTATAGATCTAGGACCATAACTCAATATCTCAGTCAACATTTCTGTAGCTGTATATTTTTATTTACTTTTCTGAGAAAATTAGACAACAGATCATGTAATAGAGTAAATCTCTCTTTCGATCTTGAAGTGCTGATATGAGAATAAAGGAAATAAAGTTTGGAAAAATGTAAAAACTCTTCATTCTCTCATTGAGAAGATCCCATAAAAATACAGTTTCTAATTATATGTAATAATATCCTTGAGTTTTGATTTGGCACAACTTGACTTTTTATTCACTGATAATTTTGGTTTTTGAGTTTCTGAGAGAAACGGGAAACTAAATGTTTCAACAATAAAAAGGGCATTTAAAGGCTGAAGTAACCAGATTATCTCACATTAGGACTTTAATCTGGACCTGCTCCTCTACTGGGTATGAAAGCACAGAAACAATTAGAGAAACAAAATAAAAGCATCACAAACTGTACATCACCTCTTACACCAAGCTGACAGAGATGTTTATGAAGTTTAACAGTTTGAATATTTCAGTAACTATATCAGCCTAAAGGTGTCAGAAAGTGGTGATAAAATGTAAAGAGCGTGCTTTATTAAAAGCTAACGTGTGTGTGTGTGTGTGTGTGTGTGTGTGTGTGTGTGTGTGTGTTTAAGGGTACCAGTGTGAATATAAGAAGCGGACAGGAAAGAAACCAGATGGCTGCGCCATCACCTTTAAATCCTCCCGCTTCTCGCTCGTCTCCTCTACACCGGTGGAGTTCCATCGCCGTGGCGACGCGCTCCTAAACCGGGACAACGTGGGCATGGTGGTCGTGCTGCAGCCAAACACCGGCGCCGCCCAGTCCAATGCGTCCTACTCCATCTGTGTGGCCAACACTCACCTGCTCTACAACCCTCGCCGTGGCGACATCAAGCTGGCTCAGCTAGCCATCCTATTGGCTGAGATCGGCCGGTTGTCCCGCCTCCCCGACGGCTCCACCAACCCGGTGATCCTCTGTGGGGACTTTAACTCGGTGCCGTGGAGCCCGCTGTACCACTTCCTGACCACAGGCTCTCTGAAGTACAAGGGGCTGCAGATTAACATGGTGAGACGAGACTAAACGATTAATCATGATTAATCAGGTATTGAAATTATCGTCATATAAATTAGTTATCAAATAATTAACTTGAGCATAAGAAAGAATCTGCTGAATGTCTATTTTATCCGATTGATTATAATCAATTACTAAAATAATTGTCAGTTGCAGCTCTAAGTGGTTTTGGCTCTTTTTAACATGTAATCATGAAAATAAACCTTGTGAATCATCCTGTGAGGGTTGAAAGGCCTGACTCAGTTCTCCTGTTGTGAAGGTGTCGGGTCAGGAAGCAGGTTCCAGAGGTCACCGTTTCCTCACCCCTCCCATCTGGTCCCCCAGACTGGGAATCAACCAGAGCTGCCAGTATGAGAGCAAAGCAACAGAGGAGCCGCGTCCCAGCAGCCCGGCAGGTGAAACCCGATTCCTCTCCGTTCAGACTGGACCAGCTCACTCAGTCTGAACCCGATCCGGTTTCAGTTCATTTAATGTGAACCCGAACCGGTTTCAGTTCATTTAATGTGAACCCGAACCGGTTTCATCTCAGCTCTGCTGTCTCTCTCAGCTGTGGAAGGAGGAATCTCTAACCTGACGGTAGAAGATCAGGCCTCCGGAGCCTCATCTGATGTTGCCAGGTAACCAGATGATCAGGCTTTAAGCCAATCAGAGCAGTGTGAGGCCAGGTGTGTGTCCTGAATGATTCTGACCTCTGATCTTAGGTCAGAGCCAAACTGCTCCAGATACAGGATCAATCATGACCTGAAGCTGCAGTCGTCTTACGGGCACCGCCTGCTGCCGGACGGCCGCCCTGAGGTCACCACCAGCCACTCACGCACATCCCTGACCGTGGACTACATCCTGTACAGCTCAGGTACACACACACACACACACACACACTTGTTTTTCTGTCATTATTAGTAGTAACAGTTTCCTGTTCTCTCTCGGCTCACCTTTATTAGATATAAACGCAACCCCTTCACTTCCTGGTGGGCGGGGCCTCCAGCTCCTGGGCAGGCTGTCATTGGTTGGGCAATCAGAGCTGGAGGAAGTCCACAGACTTCCCAACTGGCACCACTCATCCGACCATCTCCCTCTCCTGGTCAGGTTCCGCCTTGGTCCAGACAGCTTCACATGAAGGAAAAACTGGATTCAATCCAACCTTTAGAAAAAAACCTGTTTTATTTGTTCCAGAAAACTGAAACAAATAACAACTTGTATGTTTTTAAATAGAGAAGAATTTTTATTGCTGCCGCTCGTATGTTTCCATACGGAGTTCAGAATTTGCACAAAGAATTTATCGTTTCATGTCTCCATGGTGATGGATTTACAAAATAAGTTTAGAAAATATATATATACTGACCCCAAACGTTAAAAAAATTATATGCTAAATTCAATATGCAGAAATGAACCAACGTCTTTGACTCAGACAACAAATTTCATCATAAACATTAATTTTTGCTTATTATAGATTGATGGCAGCTGATGAAAATTCAGATTTATCATCTTCTTTCCTCCACTGATAAAATTTAATATTTGCGTCAATCAGAATATTTTTCAGTTCCCTTTGGGATCAATAATGCATTTTTGAATTGAATTCGACTGAAGGGAGATGGTTTGTTGTTTTTTGTAACTTTAAAAGTTTGAGGTTAAATGTATTTTTTAAATATATTTAACACATTAGCTGCTGGTTTAATATTAGGAATTATGCAGTTAAGTTTGTTTTTTAATAAGATAACGTTTTATTTTACAGTCTCGTTTTATAAGTTAATGTGCCAAAACTAATAAGATCATCAGTTTATTATTTTATGAGTTTTAATTATTTTTATTACCAGTAAGAGAATGATCTATGCATCTCATCATCGTATTTGGAAAACGTACTGTTTATGTTTTATCTGGATGACTTCCAGTCCATCTGAAGCTGTTATCATCTTAATGTGATGGTTTGGACTCTATATGCTTTTCTACTGTTTTGTTTGTCAGTTTGGGGAAGTTTACAGTTTGTAAATAATAAATTTGTATTTTTACACCCACCTGCAGTTTGCTTATTGATTCAAGTATTTTCTGCTTTAAACTGCAGGATGTTGTTGCTGTCAGTATCAAACCAAGGTTAAATGTTTCACAGATTTTCACCTGAAGGAAAGTCTGGTTTCATTCTGTTAGAATTGGGTCGGGGTTAAGGGCTAGGGTTATGAAACGATCCAGTCAGAGAGAATTTGGACAAATGTTTCTGGTTTTCCTCAGCAGTGCTGCATGCTCAGCTTTCAGACCACTTGGTATTCTCTGCCCGTCGCTCTGCAGCAATGCAGCACAGAGCCTCAGCCGGATCTGCTACCTGCCATACTTATGAACGTTCTGCACCGGGACAAAAATGAGCTTCCAACTGTTGGTTACTGAAGACATTTAACCAGTCCTTCAGCTGTGGTACTGCACAGCATATCGTATGACAGAAAAGAGAAGTTTGATATGTCAATAAGACTTTTTGGATGTTTACTGTATTGCCACTAGATGGCAGCAGACAACCTAATTCACCTGAAATGGTGACAAGAAAAAGATGAGACCATCATCTAGCCAAAGAAACAAACTGTAGAGCATAACGTTAAGACAACATAAGTTATGTTTTCATTTACATATTGCATGTTAAATAATGAATACCATTTTTCAGTAATAAAGGTTTTTTTTATGGGTACGAGCCAAGTCCTGATTTTTGCTGAGCAGACTTTCTCCAGTCTTTGAGGTTGGAAGGTCTCTCTGCCATCACCCTAATCCTCCATTTCCTCCTCAGGTTCACTGGAAGATTCAAGGCTTTTACACACATGCTAGAAGTCTGTAATATATTTTAAAATCATTGCGGCATAAAGTCTTTTTTTTTCTTTCATGTAGTACAGAATAAAGGATTACATAGTGTGACCGTGATTTATTTTACACACATGCTATATGATGTAATAAACACACATTTTTTACAGCAGGTCTATAGTGTGATTAATTTGTGTATCTTTCTTCTTAGTGATTTGTGGATTCTTAGATATTTATATAAAGGTGAAGAGAATCTGCTGTGAATTTTAACCAGATTAAAACTTCAGACTTTAATTGTGCCGCCTTCACTCTGGGGGAAGAGATGCAACTTCAGTCATTGATCTAAATGTCTGAAGTTTGTAGTTTTGGACGGGTTGTACTGAAGTATTGGATTAATAAAGTATATTCATTCATTCATTGGTCTGAGGGACTTGTCATCTTTACATAAGAGCCCCCCCCTCTGCATCAAACATCACATTCAGGCTGCTGACACACAGCAAGGTAAACCTTCCTGCCTCTAAATCCTTAAAACGGAGCAGAGATGAGAATTGAGGGATTATTTCTGTAAGTCTGCGGCCTCCATGAGCCTCTCTGGAACACGCTCACATCTGCAGTTTGACATAAGCTGATTATTTTATCAGAAGCCAGGACACGGCGCAGCGCAGTGTTGGCGTTTTCTGACTGGATTTCTCTCCTGTTAATTTTGACAAACTTTGCTGCTTAGTTCATTTTTTTAAAAGTAAATTTAGAGTTTCCTCATCACAAGTAAGTAAACATTTAACTCAGATGTAACCTTTTCTTCACAGACTCATCAATAGTAATTACATTCACTAAAATAAGTAAAGAGTTGGAAGAAAGGATATATTATAGTGTTGGTGAGCCGGTGTTTTATTCTAAAGATTGAGCATAATGTGAGGGATTTTATGAAATCTGTAAAAGATACAAAGAAGCTGAAATAAACAGAAGTAGAGGAACATGTTGTTCTGAAACCGTCTACATACAAACGAGGAACACCTGCTGAAAAACATAGATTTATTTTTTTATTAAAACAACACATGCTGCTACATTTGGAGATAAAAACAGTTGATGAAACAGTAGGAGAGGAACAAATTACCAGGTTTCACATTTTTGCTTATTTATCTCCAGAGTACAAAACGACACAGGAAACTCAGTAAAAACCCACAAAACTCTTGTTTTCAAAGCTCTTCAGTCCGTCAGACTTTATGGGTGTTTGATTATATTTAGAGGCGGTGGAGGGTTTGAGGTGTACACACACATGCAGATGCCTGCTTCGTCACGTCGAACTGGAGCGTTATTAAAGGCCGACTCCAGAGTCAGGCATGAAGAAGCTACTTCAGTCCAACATGAAGAGAATATTTAAAGTAAACATTTTTTTGCACCCATAATGAAAAATAAAACAAAATAAAAATCAAATTTAAATTTGATTTGTTAACACACTGCTGAGGCACTGGTAATGCTGGATATGATTTCTGAGTTTGATTTCTTTAAGAGATAGTTTGAAATCTTTTTTTTTTTCATGAAGTTGTGCATCTTTTTAATAAAAAGCTTTGTTTGGTCAGCCAGTCTCATGTCTTACAGTTAATAGGAGTTAGAGCTGTGGATCTGTCCTGGTTTAAAGCTGGAACAAGCCGTCCTCCTGCGGCATGTAGCTGGTTGTTGTCATGCTGGCATCAGAGGCTGATGAAGCAGCAGGAGCTGAGAAACGAACAACTGAAAGGCTGCAGATGAAACACTGGCTACAACCACAAAGTGTTTCTTTTTGCAACAAAAGAGTTTCATTCAAAATCAGAGTACAATCAAAGCAAATATCCTAAACAGACTTGAGTCAAACACAAAAGAAAACATTCAGAAACTTTTGAAGCTGCTTCACGCAGAAAAGTAAAAGACGTGGAACTTTTCAAAACGTAACATTTCTGTGTGCTTCTTTACGCTAAAAGACACGAGGCTTTTAAAGAGAAGCCGCAGTAGAAACAGGATCATTTCGCTGGTTTGCTGCTGAGTCCCAGATCTACATCAGAAACGTGTAGAAACGTCTCAGTTTGTTAACAGCACCGACATAAAAGCTCAGAATGAATCTGAACGTTTGTTCAGACAGGAAACAGTCGCTGAGGAAGACTTGGTTTTTGTGTTGTCTCTGCTAACAGCTGCTGCATAGCTTTAGCTTTTAGCTTTAAATGTTTCTGTTGGCAACTATATGCACTGGTTCTGATGGAAAAACATGATGTGAAACATTCAAAGGAAAATCCTTCAATCAATTTATGCAACCATGATGCAAAATATATATATATATATATATATATATATATATATATATATATATATATATACACATAAATGTTTTATGGATATGTTTATCTTGAAAGATGAGGGTTTTTTCAAATTGAAACATAATCTAGTTTGTTGAGCTAATAAAGTCAAGGGAAAAAACGATTATAATTAATTATAATCAACAGTTCAGTCATGACAAAAACTAAGTACACCCTTCCATGTGACTTAAATGTTCTGGAGTTAAGCCCACCTGATCAGAACCGGGTCATCAGCAGGACAACGACCCAAACAGCAACAAATCTATCAACAGGATGGACGAAAAGAAATAAAGGTGCGGCCTATTCAAAGTCTAGATATCAAGTTCATTACAGTAAGATAAATGATCAGTTCAGTGATTCATCCATTAGAACTGATCTGGGGTCAGACTCTGAGGTCAAACAGGTCGACTCCATTTCATTAGTTTATTAAATTAAGCCTTGAAGGAAGCGACTTTCTGATGTGAACTGAATGAACTTTAACTTCTGGATCTGATATGCAAGTAATGTTAACATGTTAACATGCTAACATGCTAACGTGCTAACATGCTAACATGTTAACAAGAACGTTTTGATGAAATAAAACTGATTTCCAAGCTTCTGTGCTGTGATTGGTGGAAGGCCTCGACAGGAGAACCCAAACATCTGGCCAGACTCGACCTGACTGGACCGTTCAGACCCTCCTTCACACACACACACACACACACACACACACACAGGTGTGTGAATCAGTGCAAACATTACTAACTGGACACCGCTCTGAGTTTCTCTGGGATCAGCTCTCTCTCCTCCGTTACAGAGATCTACCTTCAAAAATGAAACTTTATGGATTCATAAACATGTTAGCTGACCACAACACAAAGATACATCACTTCCTGTTTGGTTCCTCTGAACCTCAATCTGTTCACTTTCCAGCCGTTGGTGAAACAGGTTGGAAAATAAACTTTGACCTTTTCACCATGACCAGCTTCATCATCCTCTCCTTCCCATGCAGAACCTTTAGAGGTAAAAATATTTGGCTCCGAACATAAAAAGCTAATTTCTTCTTAACTTTGCAGAAAGTGAAGCTGAAATCATTTAAAGGTCAAATCTTCTGATTTGCATCAACAGCTTCTGCGCTCTGATAATCCATCTTTTTCTATCACTCCATCTTCATCTTCCTCCTCTTTCTATTCTGCTCTATATTGACTCTTTAGTTCTTTTTGCATAATTCATCCAACATGCTCTCCTAATCTAACCTGCCTTGCCTACAGTGATTAATGCATTCTGCATATCAAAGTGTGTTTAGCCAGATTATTTGGACTCCTGTTGGTTTTGAATTCCATTATCTTCAAAGTTTTGTTATTTGTTTAGTTTAATTTTTGGTCCAACTCCTGGAGAGACGTTTTAAATCTGAGGTCAGAAAACCGTTCTGAGAATCTTTCATGTAGAAAAACTCAAATTCAGCCATGTTTCTTCTTTAAACCCACCCCTTTAAGAAAGGACCGCCCCTTTAAGACAGGACCGCCCCCAGCCAGACGGCTCAGCTCTAACTGCTGCCTCAGAGGCAGGCCTTCAGCTACATGACAGGAAGTGACCTAGACGAGCTTCCTGTGAGGAATGAATGGCTACCAGATTATGTCCAAAACTACTTTACTTCTGATCTGAGCCGGACGCAGATGCAGTGACCTGGTCCATGGCGGTGATGACAGTAGGTAGACCCCAGGCTGAGAGAGGGCGGGGCGGGGTCAAAGGGCAGGGGGGTTCATCAGATACGGATCTGGTAACCGTCACTAAGGGTGCTGAGCTCCAGAGGTTTCCTCTCCACTGGGGCCGGCCTAAAAGAGAGAAGAAGAAGCTGAACTCCAGCTGACCGCTAGCAGAGATGCTAACTGCTAACGGGCGACAGCAGTTTAACACCCTGACACTTTGTGATGCTGTACTGAAAAAAAAGTCTGTTTCCAAACTCCAGACTAAACAGAAACTCTAAAATGCTAGTGATGTTGTTTTAGAGGCATTTTTTCCATCATGAAGTTGAAAACTGTGTTTTTTTCCCTCATTTTCCATAAATTTCCACATCCCACAGAAGGAAACAACAGCTTTACAGACAGGAAATGTTAGATGTACCAATTGAGTTTTCACTGATGCAGACTTCTGTTCATCTAATTCTACTGACTAAAACACACAGCAGCTCTTCTCTCTAAACTGTTTTAATTTAATAATCAAATATAAAAAAAGGCCATAAAAGGGAAAAAGAACAGAGAAAATCCCATTGAAACATCTGCTGACATGTTACTAATCTTTACTGATTCTCACTAAACTCAAAATGAATTATTAAAGAACAGACTGATTATGATGTATTGATGAATCAAACTGATTTTCAGCTTTGATGCATTTAATGAGCAGAAAAAAGAAAAACAATCAGATGCCAGTTTTTCCCCGTTTCTTAAAGTCATTCAGATTTTGTTGACATTTGCCCTGATTTTTAACTCTTTGTTGTTCATCCAGTTGTGATGATCAGCAACACAATGGACTGATTGGTATATAGCCACCGTGTACAGCCTGCTGTCAGGGCGCCGTGCCTCGTGGTAACAACGGCTCAGTGACTAATTCTGGTGCCGCTGAGCTGCAGCTGTCGGCCCGGTCAGATTCTGTTACATCCTGACTGACAAACAGGCTCAGCATCTCCCTCTGAGGGACCAACACGCTCCAGTCGCCTGGTTCTCAACAGTAACCCAGCCTTCAGATTCAGTAACATATTTCCAGCACTCATTCTCTTCCTTCTACAGGGAAACCTTTCCAATCAAACTGGCCATAAAGTCTTCAGTTAGACCTGAAAATTGATGTTTTATGGCCGAGTGTTTCTGGATCTGTCTCCATGGCGACGATGCTGAGCTGTGTGTCCATGTCTCCTAATTTGAGATGATCTCTCCTGAGTGCTGGAGCTGCTTCAGCTGCCAAACACAGAAACTAGAAAGACGTCTGATCTCTGGCTGACCTCAGCCTGACCTCAGCCTGACCCCTGGCTGGCCCCAGCAGGCAGCAGTGTTTCAGTTGAGGTTGAGTCACTTCAGAGTTGAAGCTGCTTCAGCTTCAGCAAATCTGAACCACACACACACACACACACACACTCCGTCTGCTTCAGGAACAATCACTTACGATTTGTCTCTGCGGTGTGCGGTCCGTCGCTGAGGGCTGGCTGGCCGTCGCCGTGGCGATAAGGACTTTCCTCTGCTGCGCTCCTTGATTGGTGACTGAGCGATGGAGGATTTCAGGATCTAGAAAAGTTTGTTTTATAATAATTATTTTAAAAACAAAAACTCATCAGTCATCACTGCTTCAGCCTTGCTGACAGACACACAGACCTGCAGAGGGAAGGACCAGAGTTCACACGGAGACATTTCCAGTTTCAGTAAAAATATCAAAATAAATTCAGAGGAAGTGGAGAGCCATTTATTTGAGTTGAGTTGTCAAAAATGACTGGAAAAGAGCAATACATGTTCATCCATTTACATTCAGAATGCAGAAATATTTCTCTGTTTGGTCTTAAAGAGAAATCAGATGTGGCTAGGGTCAAAAGGTCAAAGCTTTATAAGGCTTGCAGATTGGTGAATGTCGTTAGAAAAATGACTGAATGAATAAAACAGCAGCTGATTGGATGGAGCTCTGAGCTGACCTCCTGGCATTTTAAAGAAAGGAAACTATGATCAACAGCTGCTGCAGAACCAGGCAGGGAAAATGAGCCGAGACAAAATGAAATGTATGTCGTTTTCTTCAGAAACTTTCCTGTTTCTGCTAAACGATGAGCCTGCTGAACCATTTTTAATGAGTTGATATTAACTCTATAACCACCAAACATGTCTATCTTAATACTTTTGTGTCTCCTTTATGGTTCAAGTAAAATCTGGAAGTAAAATCTATAGAATCTCTGAACTCCATGAACTGATTATAATCAGATGTTAATCCTGACATTTAACTCCAGTAAAAATCAGCCTCAGTTCCCAGTTCTGTCTGCTGATTGGTCACACACACAGCCTGTCTTTAATAAGTTCATATAGTCTGCAGCACAGCTGACTCAGGTGTGTGTTTGTGTGTTAACGTGTGACACCATTAGTGTGAGCGTGTGTGTGACAGCTGCGAGTCCCTGACCTACATATCATCTAACTGGACACCAGCAGCCTCTGTTCGACTCCCGTTCTTCTTCATGGGATTTAAACCTTAAACAGAAACATCTAGAATCACAGATTCAGCTCATGAATCATTCATCGTCACACAGCCTGGTTTTCTGCCCCTTCCTTCCTCATCACGACCCAAATAATCCCCGACTGGTCGTATCCCACCTTCAGCCCAAAGGAAGCAACATTCATCCATGATCTCATGAAAAATGTCCTTTTCCACCTGAAAGGAGCTAAATAATATTAAAGGTTGAGTTTAATTACAAACTTTCATTTTCGGTATGGAGATGAGAACCAGATGAAGGTCAGTGAACAAACAGAAACATGTTCTGACAAGCAGGTGATTATAAAGTTTATTTCCAAAGAAAAACAGAAAAGGTCACGGCTGTCCTGTGATTAGATCCCTGCAGACAGAACGTCTTCCTGCCGTGTGGCCACGGTCCCCCATGTCACATATCCTGCTTACTTTGTGTAGACCATCCATCCAAACAGATTTATTCTGGGCTCCGTCTGGTTTAGTTTCTGAACAAACTGGTTTATTTTGAAGATTTTAATTTAGAATAAAGTTTAGTTTATTCTGAACAATAATACTGATTGAATATCTTTTTTTAATGTTTTGTAAGTTTTCAAATAAAGATCTGGAAAGTGTGGCATGCAGTTGTATTCGGCCCCTTCAACAGCCTGTAGAGGTGAACTAGTCGGTGCTGGATTGTAATAAAACCTCAGTATAAATGCAGATGTTCTGTTTCTGGCCTTGAATACAAAAAGTGAGAACTGTGAATCATTTTCCATCTGATCCACTTTAGGTGCTGCTTGGAGTTAATCTGCCTCATACAATCCCAATAAAACACAACAATGTTCTTTATTTTAATGCAATAAAATGAAAACTTTTGTAGAAGGCATTAAGTTCAACTATCTGTGTGCTGATGAGACAAACCTTCATCCTCATGTCCCGGCCGTGTTTCTCCAGGTCCTTCCTCATCTCCTGAGCTCCGAGTCGGGTCGTGTTCAGCACCAAATACTTCCATTCGATTGGCTGAAAGACATGGGGGTCGTGAGGCACGTACAACCCAATCTTCACCTGGGAGAGACGGACAGAAGAGGTTAGAGGCGGACCGCTGGCAGCGCTGGCTCTGCTCAGCTCCACGTTTCCTCCTCTACCTTCTTCAGAGTGTGCTGGTATCTCTTGTAGGAGCTCTCGAACTCGGCCACCAGCTCGCCCAATGTCCGGTGGCTCAGCGGTTTGTCCATCAGGTCCGGGCGCCGGCTCATGCCCAGCGATCCGTAGCGACCGTTGCAGTAGACGCCCAGAACCACGTGGTGGAAGCAGTGACCTGAAAACTGGGTCTTGAAGCTGATGGGGAAGCGCTCCAGAGACGCGAGGCCATTGGTCAGATAGCTGAGCAGCAGCGGCGGCTAAGGAAACGTTTGACTGGAGGAATCATCCACACACTGACAGAAACCTGGAACTGAACGTGTTTGTTTGGACCAAAGCAGCTTCCTCTGTGGCTAATTCTATTCACTCTGATGGGATAAAGAGCCTCTGTGTAAACAGTGAAGGTCAAAGAGCCAGAGCTGTTCAGGAAGCTCCTCCTCTCGTTGTGTTTTATTCTGTTTAAACACATAACCTGAAACCTACACACTCATGGACCAGCTGACACATGATTTGATTACTCGTCTCATGATCTTCACTTCCTTCCTTTTCTCTGTCAGCCTCCATACATTTTCCATCTTCTCCTTTTCTGCACCTAAAACTAGAAACTCGGCTTCCAGGAGTTCCTAAATGAGCAACGTTAAGGTTTTAGTGACGGTGAGTTATTTGTTCTCAGAAGTAGGAATTTCTGACTTCCCAACCAAAGAGACTGCCTTAAGGTTAAGGAGTGTGTTCAGGTTGGGAATATGGGAAAAAGCAGAGATTTACCGACTTCTATGCTGCTGGATGCCGTTGCTGTACGAACAGATAACGATGAGTTTCATCCTATTTAGTTGTTTTCAACTAAAAGAACAAGTTCTGAAATACAATCATACTTCTCATTAAGTTCACATTTCTGTTTTAAAAATGCTCGTGAATTTCCAACATCTGAGCACAAATAAAATCCATCAACCTGAAACTAAACATACAAGTTTATTCCATAATAATTTAACGATGAAGAGAAATAGTTACAGCATTAAGACAAACAGCAGCTCAGCTCCAACCGTACCAACACACTCAGAAGAATCTGGACCAACTGGTAGCCAATCAACTGCTTGGTTTAAACCATGGAGGCTTATGATTGGTCAAAGCTTTCATCAGTCAGGATGCTTCAATATTTGTAAGACCTTCCAGAAAACTGGACCAACCTCACATCTGTGTGTCCTCATTACTGTAAAGTAACACACACACTCACATACGAGGAGTCATGAAGATAAATAAAATAACTAAAAAAATGACTCAACCTAAAAGACTAAAAACTGGCCCAGTAAATTTCAACACCTCCATCATTATCAGAGGTAACATTTAATTGTTTCTGCATCTTGAATATTGCAGATGTTGAATGTTTTCTGTGTTCTGCATGATGCACAAAATGAAGCTTTAAAGCTCTGCAGACGGAGACAGAGCAGAACTACAGGAAGCTTCCTGATCTCAGTTAGAGGACAAGCTCTAACCTGATAACAGGAAGGCCTCAGAGCCTGACCCCAGATCAGTTCTATTTAATGGCTGAGGTCAGGTCACATCCTGAGACGCTTTGGTTTCTTTTCCACGTCTCGTTCAGACTCTGGTTTCTCCCTTAGAAAAGGTTGAACTAAAAAGGATGAAACAGCAGGAGAGGCCGTCTCCTCCAGTCTCTTTAATCAAACAAACCTGAGGCTGAATAGCAGCTCAGGGAACGTTTGATGGTAAACGGGGAGCTTTGTGGCTGCAGATGACAAAGAGTCTTTCATGACTTAAAACTCAATAATACAAACTAAACAGCCTCCATGTTGTGATTCTTCACCTCCAACCACAACAAGTACTGAGATTCAAGCAGAGCTGCACCGCTACTATGGCCTGCATGTCTTATCTGTGCCAGCTAACACAATAAGACATATGCACCAGACACACACACACACACACACACACACACACACACACACCCAGAGAGAGAGCCGCTGCGGCCCAGAATGAACCCTGTGGATCCTGGAGGAACCTCGGATCGCTGTCCTCACAGATGCAGCCGAACTGACAGAACCAAATGCCACAAGCTACAACAGATGTTCTTCTTCCCACAACTCGCTGCAGGAGCTGATTTTATTATCATGCAAGTTATTTATTTCAAATAAAAGCTATAGAAACCCTGTTATTGTAATGTTTAGAGACATAACCTGTAGATAAAGCTATGCAGATCCAGTTTAATAATAGGCGACTCAGCGTTCTTGTACCGAATTTGTGCTGATGAGCTGAGGAATCCAGGTGGGGGAGGAGCCGACTGGTTGGCCTGGTGTGTTGCCATGACGCTGAGGCAGGGTGTGTCGCCATGGCACTGAGTGAGGGTGTGTCATCATTCCAAGGTTGTCATTGAAATGTCCTCTGATCAGCCTGTCTGCTCAGGTGAGGCCCTATAGCTCAGTGGTTAGAGCACTGGTCTTGTAAACCAGGGGTCGCGAGTTCAAATCTCGCTGGGGCCTGAACTTCATTTTCCCTCGACAGTAAAACTTTATTCTTTTTAGATTAGGCAAGTTAAACTGTGAACTTGCCGACCTCTTTCCCATTCACTCCCTCTGAATATTTGCCGTTTTGCTGTTTTGTCTGTCCTTCCAGCTTCACCTCCTGCTGTTTGCAGACCAAAGCCACCCTTCGTTACAGTCACTGTCAGCTGCCAGCATGACAGAGTCGCCATGACAGCCTGCAGGATCAACACTGGAAACATTTATCCTGAGAGACGTTTGTCCTCCTGACAGACCAAAGTCACCTCAAATGGCACCAAACCTTTACAGGTTTCAGTAAAACATGTTCAGGGGAATTCAGGCCGACATCGATGGAGACCTTGAACGCAACCCACCTTTTGCCAAAATCCTCACACACCATCTGTTTGGATGCAGCAAGCAGAGCCAACACACCAGAGACAATCACTGATATCCTACTGGCAGCATGTGTGGATTTAAAGAGGCTGAGAACTGGGGCTGCAAATAACAATGGTTTTAGTCATTTCTAAATCTGATTGATCAGACAAAAAAAAAAACATTTAGCACATCCTGCAGATTTTCCATTTAACCACATAAGCCTTTTTATACAATATTAGAAACACATTAAAAGATGCAAATAACCAAATAATTAAATTTCTTTTTAACAAAATAAATGTAACAACAGCACTCCTTTAGTGAACACTTGATCATTTGTAGCAAAAGCAGCAGTAAAAATACACATCAACATGTGAAAAGCTCAGTTTTTTTCTGCTCAACTGAACATCAACACTGTAGATTTGATAGGATGACTATTTCTGGATTAGCCAGTTACCGTATTTCCTGTACTTTAAGTCACAGGAGCAACCAAACTATGAAAAAAAGTGGGCCTCATAAACTGGAACATACGGTAACAGCAAAAGGTGCTTAAAACTGAGACTTTTTTACAGCATTAGAACCAAGTAAAGTGGAAAATATTCCACTTTCTAAATATATATTTACATACAAAGCTTTTTTTTATCTCAACAGCAAAATGTAAAATTATTTTGGACAGTTTTGATTTAGTTATTGCTCTGCCAGTGTTTTTTCAGCAAACAGCCTTTTTTGAGTCCTAAAGATTGATCAGTTACTAAATTAGTTGACAATTATTTCAATAATTGATTCATCACAATTAATCCAATTGATTGTTTCAGCCCTACTGAGCACAACAGATGTTCCATCCACACATTTAGCATTAAAAAGTAACACTGAACTAATCTGTGGTTAAAATAGCTTTAAGCTGTTATTAAGCAGCAGAAACTTTAAAAATATTTGTGTGTAAATTATTTAATATAACTGAATCATTGATTCTGTTACAACTCAAATAAGAGTTGTCTTTTCTGACACAGAAAGTAGAAACAGGCAGAAATCCAAGCGGGGCAGACACCGTCCCTATTTATTATAATTATCAACCAAATAAAGAATGAAAGAAGCCGGGTCTGACTGGAGACCAGAAAGGTTCAGGATCAAATCCAGGCAATACAGAACCTGAATCCATGTTCTATCGAGACTGATTCAGACAATAATTTTAACATCTAAAAGTAAAACCAGCCAGATAAGAACTGTTGGGGGAAACATGGACGCCAAACCTCCTAAAAATGACACAGCTGACCTCAAACTGGAGTGCTCAGGATGATGCTAAGCTGCGAGAGCGAGCCAAGGGGGAAGAAACTTTGAAGTGTTCCTGTTGCCAGGCAACGCCACAGAGCGAGAGAGGGGGTCGATGTTTTGGGGCATTAGTACTTTAGAGGTGAAAGTTTGATTGATTTATTTTTTTACTCAGACACAGCAGAGGAACAGTGCAGAGCTGAAAGGATACACTCCCAGGATGACGGCTTCCAGGCATTTGATTGGTAGAGACTCCCTGATCATCTCCCTCGCTGTTTCCATCAACCTGCAGAGGAGGGAGGAGCGGAGACGCAGGAACGATGAGAAGAAAAACGCATGAAGAGCAAACAGGAGGCGACGCTCCAGGGCTTCATGGGGAACTCATGATGCTGAATTGTGTTCATCTCTAAACATTTAATGGTATTTTTACAGCATCCACTCACCCACACAGCGGGCGGCTCTTCTTAATCTCAAAAAACTGGGTTCCAGTGTGGTTGTACCTAACACAAACGTTAAGGGCAACAGGGCTTTAAAACACTTTCACAATGCGTTTTGGTCTGCAGCAGCACTTTTGTCAGTAATATCAGTATCTGATCATTCCATTTAGTTTAGAAACTTCACCTGAAATGTGGGGCTCCGTTACTAACGTGCTGTTAAGGATGATTAAATGTGTTTGTTGTAAAGGATACTGCAGAGCCTTCATGTAGTTCTGGACGGCCACCAGCCAATCAGGGGCTGACATGGATGGCTTGAAGGTTGGAATGGAGGGAACAGTAGGCTGGGAAACAAAAAAACACAAAACAAACATTGTCAAATGCTTACAGTAAATAACATCTGGAAACTTTCAGAGCCTCAAAACGATGTTTTAGTACATCATAAAACAATCTGCCTGCGTCATCAGAACCAGTCTAACCAGGACTCTTCTTCATTCTGTCAAACACGTTTATGTCATCAACAGTTTTTTATAAATCACATAAAGTTATGCTAATTGGACATCAGTGCTGAACAAAAATATGAAAAAGAAACAAACATAAAAAAACAATGCAAAAATTGGATGTTAATTAAATAGTTTGTATAACTATTCAACATTTATAAGAACAAATTAAACAGAATAAGGTCACCTGAGGATGTCCAAGCACCACAAGAACTGAAAGGGAAAGAGCAAAGTTGGGTTTTAGGAGGTTTATAAAGCCGTCGAATCTGTGAGTGTTCTTCATTAGCAAACTGCTCCAGTCCTGCTACTGCAAAGCAAAGGTCACTCCTGCTTTTCAGTTTGGTTTGATGGATTTCCATCTGGTCAGTAGATCTGAGTGCTGCTGATGAAGAACGGTGGGACCCATTCAGGTAACCAGGGGCCATGCAGAGTTTTAGAAACAACCAATCAAATCTCACGATGGAGAACCAAACAGAGTGAAGCTAAAACTGGACAAACTTTTGCATCCAAGTTGTGTTTATTAGCAGAACCAGCAGAGAAGTGAACCTACATTCAAGCTACTTTAAATACCTTTCAAATCATCTAAGCACTTACGGACTGCAGTCTATTCAGGAAAAACCAAAGTCTACAAGCATAATGATAACGGGACCCAGACTCAACAGTAAGGAACAGGTTGTTTAAACTTTTCACTAGTTTATGAGATCTTTGGTATAAATTCACAGCACAGTTGTTCTTTATACAGCCGAGTAAAAAAAGGAGAAGAGAAGTCTGGGTGTTTTGTGGCCGACCCGACGCCAACAGGAAACCCACACCGCTTTGAAGCGACACGTTCCAGAGATAAAGATCACTGCTGATTCTGCAGCTGGTTCACCTCAACAGGAACCACTTCTCAGCAGTCACACATGTGAAGAGGCCACGGATATTTCAGCAGAGTGACTCAGGCTGAAACACAGACCAACGTTTCCTGTGAGTCTCAAACTCAGTAAAAGCTGGGCTCGTGCGTGCACAACGGAAGAGTGAGCACCAGAACTATCACTTCCTGTTTCTTCCTGCTTTCTATTTCAGGCAGGAACAGAGAATGGAAGGGAGGGATAGCAGGACTACACCACAATGACTGCATCCTTACTGGGTAAAACACTCTTGTACGATAACAGCTCCCTGAATCATGCACAGCAGTTATTTAGCCACTTAACTGCTAATTTACTACAGGCAAGTAGACGATTAGCCCGAAAACAGACAGACTAATCAGGCAATCCGTCAGTCAGCAGCTCAGAGGAAGACGATCTGCCAACTGGCCATTCATCTCGTCAGCCGGCCAGCAGCAGCATATCGTGCTTTTTAACAGCCACATAATCTGGAAGTGAAATCCCCTCAGCAGTCAAACCTCCTCACTGGCTGGGCAGGCTGACACGCTGAGGCTCAGAGGCTTCAGCAACAGAGCTCTTCTTTATCCTCACTTTCAGTAACGACCGCCATCTTTCTCAGGTCATTATTTTTTATCTCTTGTTGTATTATATTCAGAGCAGTGAGAAGCCGTAATCTGAGAGCAGAATGAGCATCGATTCACAGCCAGTTATCCTGGTAATTAATCTGTCTGCTCAGCCCATCTGGAACCGCCTCCTCTGGTTTCTTGTCCACCCTTCATCTGACTTCTCTGTTATTACCTCAAACCTTCTCTACAGATTTCCTTCTCTGGTTTGGCCTCCATCTCCTCCCCTCATGTCCACCCTCTGCTGTGACATCCTGTCTCCTGCTCCTCCCTCTCTCCAGCTCTACACGGGCTGAGCAGACATCTAGAAACTGTAAACAAAACGTTTCATGCTAGCTGTATCTACAAACTCAGCGCTATTTTTGTGGAAGACAACCTGGAACATGTCTGAATAGCACCTAAAGTCCATCATACTCCAAGCCAGCAGTGCAGGAAAATAAATGAGTCAACTGTGCTTAAAATGTTGTCTAGATAAACTAGAATAAAACCTTTTTTTAAATCATAGACATAAATGTGCTGAATTACAAATTAATTTGATAACTCTGCACCAACACAGCACACTTTAAAACACCAATAACTTCACAAGTTTGATCAAACATGTAAAAACAACAGAACTTTCATTTGTTCAGTCAGTGCAATTAGGACCAGATCAGTAAAATAAATAATAAAGAAACTAAAAGTGACAAAAATATGTTGGCTGCCTTGGTTCAGCATGTAAAAATAAACTGCAACAATTCTTTCAAATGGTTCAGAAGGTGCAATGAGGAATTTTAAATATAATCCAAAATAAATGATAAAACATAACATGACTCAGAGCACAAAGCGTAGAATTAGACTGAATAGATCTGCCCTTATGAATCAGGTACATTAGCACTGATATCCGACCTAGAATTTTTTTTGATATTGGACCAATACAGATATTAATATTTGATTGATGCATCTCAGATGTAGGATCCTTTCTAAGATAAGAAGATGTGGCAATAAACAGAAAACTGCAAAAACAATCAGGGCAGATAATAAAGTCCAGTTTTTCATGCAGTTATTTGTAACAAGATTCAGCAGAAAATGACCTGTATTTTGACAAGTATGGATCAGAAGAACCACGAGTGCCTGAAGGTGGTCGAACAGCAAAGCTGCAGACGATCCTCTTCAGTTACAGGACATCCACATTTCCTACCAGATAAAACTGGCTGATAAAGGACAAAGTCGCCTCAGCTCAGCTAACCTCATATCAGCTTCATCGTCCTCCCACCTAGAAAAGAACAGACAGTTTCTAACAGTAAGAAAAACCCTCAAAAGCAAAAACGCTGAGGTATAAAACTGAAAGTAGTTTTACTTTATTATGGAAAAATAATAACGTTGGAACAAGTGAGCTCAGTTTAAACATCTAACAACATGAACACATGAAAAACAAAGCAGACAGAAAAACATCTGGCACCAAAACTAGCAGCACTGACAAAAGAAAATGAAGAGAAATCTAAAATGTCTCGGATCTGATGAACATCTACCAAACAAGAGAAAGACCAGTAAAAAATGACCTTCCTGCTTTTAGAGTTCATCACCAGCAGAAATTAAATAATCAAAAATAAATTAAACCATTTAATGAAGAAGATCAACACTTGTGATGAGAGGAATAAATTAATCTGAATGAAACCAGACAGTGCAGTTCCTGAGGTACAGAAAGCAGGAAAACTCCATCCTCCAGTTTGAGCAGTTTATTTTCTCTGGTATCTTTAGAAATCTTCTCTCTCATTATTAAAAAAAACATTTCCATTAGCTGTAAATAACACTGTGGACAGCTGCCACTCGCTGCCATCTAAAACACATTTTCTGTGTGAGCATTAAAGATTCAAGTCAACTAAAGGAGGGAGGGAGATGGACAGGTCAGGTTTCCTGCTGCTAAGATGTCGGTGGGATTTCCCCAGGAACCCTGTGTGTGTGTGTGTGTGTGTGTATAAGAGGTATTCAGACAGCTGAAGTCATTTAAATAAAGTTAAAAGTTATTGAAAGTTGCATCGTCTCATTCAAAAACCCACAACAGAACTGTAACAACCTGCTTTAACATGTAAAACCAGGCCAACAGGCTGGAGGTTAAACGTGGGCCAAAGGAGAGTTTTCTGGACCGGATGATTGTAATTAAATATTTATAACCTGAAATATGAAGCAACACAGGTTTCATTTCTGAATATCCAGCAGTATTCATACTTTGGGGCATCCAACCACTGCTTCAACCTCCCCTCCCCCCATTTTACTGATTCACGCTGAATTTCTTTAAAATAAAGTGAAGTTTGCATAAACCCAAACATTATTAACATTTACTGTGCATTAAACTTTTTGGCAGAACAGAAAACAATAAGAATGCAGCAGTTGTTTTCAATACTTTGTCTATAAAATGTTTTGAACATTTTCAGGTGAAAAGATACAAAAAGTATTTCATTAAATAGTTTTGGTTTTCAGAATAAATCCCATATATTTTAAAGATGTACGTTCAGTTCTTTATTTAAAGGTTTGTGTTTTGGTACTACACCAAACACTGCAGTAATACTAAACAGATCCAGTGAAATTAGTTTCCCTTCATGCAGTCCAGTTGGTATCCAGAGATTATCCACTACCCAGATCGTATTTGAGGGATTATTCAGCTGCTGTGCCAAAACTGCAAACTGGTCCTGAGGGGGCGGAGAGAGGCGGCGGGTCGCCGACCAAAACACTGGAAAATCAGGAAAACCTTCCTACTGGAGGCCATTTTGACAGTCAACCAATGGGAACAGTTTTACCAACTTTCTTTTCGCTTTAATTTTCTGAATTGACAAGCCTGAAAGAAATCTAATGCAGCTTCTTTTAAAAACATTTTCTTCAATACATGCCATTATCCTAAGAGGAGAGAAATCCCTTTATTATCCTTTTTCCTCTTTGCCTGAAGGTGAAAATCAGCCCATCTGCTTTTACACTTCACACACACATATCGACACACCAACAGCAGAGTGGAGTCAAGCTGCACATTAACAAACCAACTGACATCTCCATTGTTCACCATCCACCCAGATGCTGTACAGCTGTTTCCCAGCCCCCTTAGTTTACATCCAACACTAAATGCTCTCACTGCCAGCAACAGAGTGACTGTCAGGCCCAATTTACAGACATAATGGCAGAAAATCTCTGATGCAAGTTTCAAATAAAAATCTTACATTTGTGTCTTAGTAAAGAATAATGTTGTTACTGTCTGATGAATTAAATAAAAAGTGCAATGTGACCAATTTGTTAAACTCCACATTCCTCCTGCAGCTTATCACACAGTCTGGGAGTTTGGTACCGTCAGCCAACCGGGTCACTAATGACCACATGGGTAATTAGTGGAGTGAAACAACAACAACCTCCAGGTTCCCTCCTCTCTCAGGAAAACAACACGCATTCAGGATAATTACTGTTGGGAAATTATGAAAAAATCTGGGCTGTTTTGGTGCATGAGGGGTAGACAGACATAACAAAGATGAATATCATGAAGGCAGAGTTTTGGTTTTCTCCATTCAGAAGATTTGCAGTTTGAATCCACAGCAAACAGCATTATGAAGAAAACTAATCACACTTTGTTTAAAAATATGAGAATGTATAATAAAGACAAAATAAATATCTGAAATGGTTTCACCAACTGATTTAAAGTGGTATGAAGTTGACATGTTCAGAATTCATTTAAGTAGTAATGGAACTAGCAATGACCAGCGGTGGCACACTTACTCTTAGCTCGTTTCTAGCTTAGTGCTTTTGCCAACTTTGAAAACATTTATTCTGTACCCAGAATGCATCACTGTAAAATCTACTGATGTCCAATGCTTTCCGACATGAAGCTCTACTGTGGTCAGTTAGGAAAAATGAGCAGCAGTTAGCAAAACTCAACACCTAAAAAACTGAAACCACAAGAGAAAGATCTGTCAATGTGTAATGTAATGACACATTCCAGCCAGTTGAGGGCAGTATATCATGTTGCAAGTTGTTATCAATAGGGTTGAATCTAGAACGTTAGCATTAGCGTTCACTACGTACCATGTTGATATAACATTTTAGCATTTGTGGAACTAATATTTATGGTAAGCGCAACTAACTTTTTATTAGCAGTCCCCACCACTGGTAATGACAATAAAAGAAATGCAGAATGTACATTTTATTTTGATACATTTGCAAACTGATCCCCAACAGATATGTAAATGATATTTAACTTATTTAATTTTGAATAATTAATTAACCAAATCAGCATGAACTTGTGTAAGTAAGCTTTAACTGGACTGATGTAATATTTCAGCAGTAGAATGATGAACGTGTGCAGCCTTCTCTAGCCTGCTGCCATGCTACGTCTGCATGTGTGACACAGAATCACACGGAGACAACAACTAATGCCACCTGACAGGCATGGTGCTCCAGTTTAGCACGCTTGTTGTCATGGTAATATGAGGAATAACTGTGTGAGTACTCCTCAGACCGTGCATTAGTGAAACTGCGAGTGAGACCGGGTCGTCGTTATCACTAAAGGCACCCAGCTGTGAACACGAGCACAACCATCTCCAGCAGCAACAGAAACCCTGACTCACAAAACCAAGAGAAATTCCTCAAGTCGCTGAGAATTCACAGCAGGAGGAGAGAAGAAACACGGTAGAGGTCATGTGATGCAGACCTGCATCTTATAATGCTAACTAAAACTAAATCCTCTGTTTCAGACAGATCTGAATGTGTCGAAAACAGAAAGAGAAATGAGAGACGCACCGAGAAATATGCTGTTGACCAAACTCGGATGATTTTCAGGCCATCTCCTAAACTCAAAAATCCTGCCTTTTTATGGTTAGTGAATATAACGAAGTGCAACCAGGTCACAGTTATAACTTTGTGGAAGTCGTTACTGAGGCAGGAAAACCTCAGATATCTTCAGTGTCAGTGAAGTGTCGGAGGGAGCAAACGAAGCTGAAACTATTTTCTGTTAAATGTCTGTGTTTGGTTCAGGCTGTGAGAACAGGACAGAGTGAGTATTTCAACCTTGGCCTGTTATGGAACACGGTGGATCGGGAAATGAAAAACCTTCTGATTACCTCATAGAAGTGTCACAACATCCCCAGGCTGCTGCATGGAAAACATCTTCATAAAGAGCTTTTTACTAAAGAAGGCAGTTCAGTAAATGCTGAACATCTCAGTGCTGTCATGTGACACAGACCCATCCAGAATAGATGCTTTGATAATGACAACGAATATGCCTTATAAGAAAAAAAGTGAAGGTCATCCTATTAATTTTTTATATAACTAAAAACTGGGGTTAAGTTTTGCAGTTAAAAAAACAGTAGCAATTTGGAAGAAGTAGAACTTCAAATAATGAGGTTTCTGATTAGCAGTGTTTTTTCTGAGAGGAATAAATCATGAACAGAACCCAGATAGCTTACTTTTGGCAGGTATGCAGCGTTCCGTATCCGGTCCACCATCTCCTGGCCGTCGGGGTGGACGGTGGCCACATGGGACCACATCCTCTCCCAGGTTACGCTCTCGATGGGGAAACCATTCCGATTAACGTAGAAGAGAACCCCTCCTTCCTTCTTCTCTTCCTCCTCGGGGGAGTTACTGGGGGGGCAGGCGGCGGTCTCCTCCCCGGCGCCGCAGTGGAGCAGGCAGTGTGCACTGGTGCTCTTGGAGCGGCCGCGCCTGCTGAACTTGACCGATGAGGTGCCGGTCCGGCTCGGGGAGTTGGGTCCCGTCATCGGTCCCAGGAGCACAGCCGATTCTTAGCCAGCTACAGCTACTTCCTGCTGCCTCTCAGAGAGTTCATACTGGCATAGTTAAGGCAGACCTGATGAGAGAGCAAAAACAAAAACATAAGAGGTTAGGAGAACAAATCTGGAATATAATCTATATATATCTTGGTGAAGTTTATGAATCCCAAAGTAAGAATAAGACCCACGCTGATCCATCATAAAGGGCAATATCCACCATATCCCCTACTCCAACATCTCTCTGCTGGCTTTCTAACCGTACTGCCAGCAAAAGTAAAGTAGATGGATTTGCCTCTTTGGCCGTAACATAACATTACTGTATTTAAAAAAATTACATTTTATTGGGTTTTATAATATCATAATGTTCCACTCATAAAATAAAAAACTTCTTAAATACATTTAGAAGGCAAAATTATTTCTGACAGCAACAACTGACCAATAGTATAGTATAGTTAATATTCAATGACAACTGTTATCAAAGCTTTGGTGACAAAACAACATTATAAAAGCCATTAACAGAAATGTATTAAAACCAACGTTTTAAGAGGAGTTTTCTGTATATAAAAACGATTAAATATGCATGTATATATTATTTCAGTGACAGAAACTGCAACTAAATTGACTTAACGACAGAAAGTGCATACATTACTAAGCTGTAAGATAACAAAAATACAGAAAAGTTCATTTCTGCAACAGTTTTTCCTTCTTACTTGAACCGTATAAGCGGAAATATTCCAACCGTTATTAATCCAAGCCTACCGTTCTTTCCAAAAGGGCTCCGACTTCACACCGTCGACGGCCTCCAAGCTTTAAATTACATTTTTACTAAAAAAATCCTTTTCTAGAAGAGGTGGGTTCCATTCATAAAAAAGGCGACCGTGTCCACTCCAGGCTGGAAAGTCTTGTTTTGGACCGAGGCTTTGTAACTTCACCCTTTTTGAAAGTCGTCAAGTTTTCAAACAGTAACGGTCTTTTAAATGGAATTCCAGTAAGTTTACTTTCAAAATAAAATCTCGGCGTGATTTATCTTCTTGTCATGACGTAACAATTGTTAAAGCTTGCTCGCAAATAATTTGTAGTACACATCACATAAGGTTCTAAATAAACATCTTAATTATTATCTACAAGGCGTAAGGTTAAGAAATGTACCTCTTTTATTCTGAAATTCTCATCCAGAAGTTGAGTTGGTTCCGCTCCTTACTTGACTGCGCTCTTCTATCTTTGGTCTCAGTACACTGCAGGGGCCGCTGCCTTCCACCAGCCCAGATCTGGGTAACCTCCTCCTCTGTGCATTGCCTTCCGTTAGCAGGCTTTAAATCGCCTCCTTATCCGCTGTCTATTCGGGAAATTTGGTTTCATCATGGTAAAAGTCTTAATAAGCCCGTCACATGATTAAATCACTTGAGATAACGCAGCTCCTCTAGCGGATACCTGGCGAGCTCTTCTGCTCCTCGAATACCCTGCAGTTACCAAAGCTAGGCGAGTTCTAATTGGTTAAGCTAACAAAGAGGGGCGGGACTTACACGGTCGTTTACCAAATTTGGAACTGATGAGACACTCTGATTGGTTGATTTTGTCAACAAGTGATAAATCTGCAACAAATGTAGTTCTTTTTTAGTCCTTGATTGTAACTGTTGATTTTGCATCAGGAGGTTATTGTCTTACTGTTCGTATAAATTAACCTAATTATCATGAAAAAAAAACAAACAAACACTGCACCATCCATCCACACTCACACGCACATATACACGCACGCACACACGCGAACACACACACAGTGAAAGAGAGATATACATATTTGAAGGCTGGGTCAAGACAAAAGGAAAAAAGATATGTACAGAAAAAAATCTTTTTTTTTTTCTAATTTCAAGTATTTCATGACAAAAACATGCAGGCTTGATTTATCATTTTATATTGAATACTTTAGCAATAACTGCAAACAGTGGGGAACTATTTTGACAGTCATAACCTGACCCGCATCTCCCCCTGGTGGACAGAAATTTCCTGTACAGTCACAAAAGACAAGAAGGATTGTTAATTTGCTTGATAAGCATTTTTATTGTTTTAAGACAACATTTTTAATATAGTTTTACATTTTAAATTGAAATAGCTCATGTATGAAATTGTCCTCAAAGTCTATACCCTAAAAATAAGGTTAATATATTGTGTTTTGGTTGCTTTAAAAATCTTATTCCAGTTATTTCCTTTTAAATTAACCAAAATACCAGTTTGGTTATTTAACAGAAACATAGAGGTGGCTTGGATCAGGCGATACTCCTGTTCTAACGGTGCTGTAAGTCACTGCTGCATCACTTCCCCAAATCTGCAATGAACACAGTGCAGCAAATAAATGACTGCATATGAACACAATTCCCCACAAATGAGAGATTTATATGAATATTCTGTGCAGTTTCTTAAAATATAACATTATATTCAGATAATGTACCTGATTGTTGTTCTTCTTTGGGAGGTTAATTGAAGCATAAGAGATGGTTGCATCAGGTTCATCCTACACAAAGACAAGACAGGTGATTTCCAACATTCCAACATTTCCATTTATTTAGACCAGTTCTTTTTTAAGTCTCTTCATGGGTGTTTTTGAACATGTAATTTATTCCTAAAAGCTTGATAAAAGTGAAAGACATGAAGCTGAAATTTTGGGTAGTTAATGGAGGATGTAAAGGCCCCCGGAAAATGTCCCAGTTAAAAGACGTTTAACTAAAGTCCTACGGGGTTTAGAGTCCCAGTTGACGGCGTTTCAACTAAAAACCTATAGGTCGGAGTTCTTGTCAAATGGTGTTTTTGATTAAAGTCCCAAAGGGTTAGAGCCCCAGTTAAACGACAGTTAAATAACATTTAACTGAAGTCCTCAAAGGGGTGCAGGTTTTAATGTTTTTATCTTTTTTAATCTTTTTCAAAATGTCTTTCTCTTTCTCACTGTTTTGGTGATTTTAATGTTTTTATCTTTAAAAAAAAAAAAAGTCAGAGAGGTTAGAGTCCTTGTCAAACGGCGTTTTGACTAATGTCCAAAGGGTTGGAGTCCCAGTTGACGGCGTCTCAACTAAAGTTCTACAGCTTTTATTTCTCTTTCTCACAGTTTATGTTTTAATTCATCCATCCATCCATTTTCTGAACACCCTTGTCCCTCAGTGGGGTTGGGAGGGGTGCTGGTGC